CACTACCACATGGTCCTACAATCTAATCACCTCTTCAAGGCTCCACCTTTCAATTACCATAACAGGATTTCCCACCATCCTAGCAGTCACAGTGGGGACCAAGTTTCTAATACACAAAACATGGGGGATACAATTCAAACTTCAATGAGTTTTAGGGGGACATAATTCAGTCCACTACAGAGGGTAATCTGCTTTACTCAAGTCTACTGATTTATTTTTTATTTTTTTAAAAAGATGACTGGGGCTGGCCCGTGGCTTACTCGGGAGAGTGTGGTGCTGATAACACCAAGGCCAGGGGTTCGGGTCCCATATAGGGATGGCCAGTTAGCTCACTGGGTGAGCATGGTGCTGACAACACCAAGTCAAGGGTTAAGATCCCCTTACCAGTCATCCTTAGGAAAAAAAAAAAAAGATGACCGGTAAGGGGATCTTCATCTTTAGGAAAAAAAAAAAAAAGATGACCAGTAAGGGGATCTTAACCCTTGACTTGGTGTTGTCAGCACCATGCTCAGCCAGCGAGCTAACCGGCCATCCCTATATAGGGATCCGAATCCGTGGTCTCGGTGTTATCAGCACCACACTCTACCAAGTGAGCCAGGGGCCAGCCTGAGTCTGATGATTTAAATGTTAATTTCATCTAAAAACTACCTTCCCAGCAACATCTAAACTAGTGTTTGACCAAATATTTGGGTACTGTGACCTAGCCAATTTAACACATAAAATTAACCATCACACTACCCTACAGTTCCTTTCTGCAGTGTTATTTCTGATCTGTTTTGGCTGTGGTTGTGTTCCCCATATATGCCCACTCAATTCACTGGTCTGGCCTCTGGGAGAACAGATGGATCACGGTGGATGATGGATGGACTACTGTAAACTTAACCGGGTGACAGTCCCAATCAGAGCCACTCTTCTGGATGTGGTATCTTTACTGGAACATATCAGCACAACCTCCAGCACTTCTGTGTGGTTATTGATTTGGTGAATGCTTTCTTTTCAATACCCATGAGAAGAGATGACCAAAGGCAGTTTGCTTTTACATCACAGTATTACGATGACAGAACCTTCACTCTCTCCCCTCAGGGCTTTGTTAACTTTCCAGCTTTCTTTTATAAGAGAGGCTCACCTTGACATTCCACACATCATGCCAGTCCACTATACTGATGACATCATGCTAATCGGACATGAACAGGAAGAGGTAAGCACCGTGTTTGCCAGAAAATGGAAGATAAATTACACGAAGATTTATGGTCCTACCACATTTGTATCGTTTTTAGGAGTTCAGTGGTTTGGGGCAGGCCAGTACAAGTTTTCTCACCTCATATATCCCACACTTAGAAAACACCACAGTGTTTGGTGGGTCTCTTTAGATTTTTGAGGCAGGATATATACACGTAGAAATACTTCTCCAATCCTTTACTGGATGGCTTGGGAGGTTGCCATTTGTGAGTGGTGCCCAGAGCAAGATTCAGGCCACAAACAAGCTATGCTGCCACTTTGGATTAGATGATCGTGCAGATACAATGTTGCTGGAGATATCTATGGTGGATAAAGATTCTATAGGGAGTCTCTGAGAGCCCAAATGGAAAAGTTGCAGTGAGGACTCCTAGGAGTCTGGACTAAGGCCATGCTCACCATGCTTCCTTTGGGAAAAAGGGCCCTTGTGTCACTGAGCCACAGTAGTGACTAAGCATCTGACCACTGGATGCCAGGTCACTGTATGTCTTAAGCTAGCTATTATTAGACAGGCATAACAGCAATCTAATATATGATGAATGTGGTACATTCAAGGCTGGGCCAAAGGGGTCCAAAAGGCATGAGTAAATTAAATGAATAGGGGGTTCAGACTCCCTTGGCACTGAACTCTGTTGATCTGACACTTCTCCTTTGACCCACACTATTGGCCTCATGGAGGGTTCGCCGCAACCACTGATAAAGGAGGAAAGGAGGGGAACCCAATTCACAGGTAAGTCAGTATAGTGTTTTGGCACCAGCTGGAAATGGACCACTCTTTTACAGTCCCAGTTGGGAGTAGCCCTGAAGGACAGTGGTGAATCTTTCCAGGGGGGCAGAACTATGAGCAGTACAGTTTGAACATGAACATGGGCTTCACTGATCTTGCCATTTGCCCTTTGTGTATATAGAGAGATGGACTGAGGTACAGACATATTCCAATTTCTAATAAGTAGCACACAACTTGGCTAGTTGGTCAAGGGCATCAGAAGAGCCAGACTGGAAGATTGTGGGTAAGCAGGTCTGGATAAGGGGCATATGGATGGACCTACAGAAGTGAGCACAAAAGCATGTGGATCTCTATGTCTAACATTAATGCTGCTATAGAGAAGGCTGTACAGCCAGTTGGTCAGGATGTCCCAACATATGGATGTCAGCCAGCCTCTAAACTTAGCCCCCCTATTGCTTTTTGATAGACCTATAAAAGATTGTCCATAGTGGCAAAGATGGGGACTATAAATACGCCCAATAACTTGGGCTCCCTCTCACCAAGACTGATCTAGCAACTGCCAACAAATAGTCACCCTGCTAGCAGCAGGCAACAAGATGGCAACATTGCCAAGAGAGAGCAGCCAGCCACCTGGCTGGTCAATTATATCAGACCCCTTCCACTTTGCAGAAGGCAATGATTTATTCCTTTTGGAACTGCTTTGTTCTCCAGATATGGGTGCATTTCTAACCACAGTGCTTCTATAAGCATCACCATCCAAAGGCTTTAAAGAATGCTCAATCCATTACCTAGGGCCATGGGACCCATTTTAAGGCAAAGGTTGTATGACGATGGCACATGAACATTGGCTTCACTGATCTTACCATTTGCCCATCACCCAGAAGCAGCCAGCCTGAGAAAACAATTGAACAGACTGACTTCATTTCCAAAGCTTTATTCTCATCATCTGCAAAATGAGGGTTATAAACAGTATATGGTACCTCACAAGTCTATTGTGGGATTGGAAAGAGATCACATAAATAGAGCATTTTGCACAGGCCCTGGCATGGAGCAAATGCTCAATAAATGGTAGGTATTATCATTAATTGGATCAAATTTTGAAAGGCCTCTGTGTTCCAACGGGAGCTGGCAGTCAGCTTTGGTAAGCCCTTCTTAGGGTATGTCTCCCACTGTAGCAAAGCATGCTTTGAATACTCTTAGCTGTTCAGAAAGTCCCCATCTTGAATAACATTTTTCTGCCAGCAGACAGCACACAGATGCTGCCACTGAGCAGAGTTGGAAGAGAAGGGAAATGAAAACTCTGCAGAGTT